GTTTATCCAGGAACACTTGAGAACTAGACAGGCGCTGTTCTGGATACCATATGTGTGCCAACTAATCCGAATTGCATACTAAATTTGGCGGCAAAACAGCATGAGACGTGTTACTCTATACTTCATCATTGATACTTTTTAATTCATAATAGTTTAAACCCGATACTGATAGTGACACTGGTTTGAATATCCGTAAGTTATACCGATACCGGTTGAAGCGGCGGACTCATACCGGTTAGAACGGACTGGCACCAGTTTGAACGGGTTGATACCGGTTGGAACGGACTGGTACCAGTTAGAACTGGTTGGTAGCTCATACGTCATTGGAACAGGTGCTGACACCGGTTAGAACACACGCAACACATCCCTGGTGGCTGAACGCCGGGCAACTTCAGCGTCTCTTTTGATGATTAGTTGGGTGACTCACGTTTAAACAACGTCGGTATACTCAAAATGAACTTCAGCATGATAAAATATGGGAAGGCTGTTTGATGCCTTAGAGGAGAACTTCAAGGCTGTTGTTTCCAAAACGTCCCCAGGCACTGGGCTTTGAACTTCTATAATGAATCTTACTGAAGAGGACATCAATTCATTCATTTCACGTACGACGTCGTCTTTTTTCTTGACTGGACTTGAGACGAATGTCAATCGCTTGAACCACAAAGAGACCCTAATTTCCCAACGGAGGAAGTTGCTAGGATCACATCATGCATTATATATGCCAACAGTTATGTTCTTGCATTTTGTATCAGCTCAAGTTGCCGCGAGGCGGATTAACAGCCTTGTAGAGGTTATAGAATTCATTGTAGCGTTAAAGTTGAGACTAAGCACATCAATATAGCAAAGAAAAACTTCCTGACTTGACACATAGAGACCTGATTATTTAGCGTTTTTATTCAGGCAGTACCTGTATCTGTTAAAGGTGCCAAAAAAACGAAGTAAGACAGAAAGTGGTGCTAGTGACTTTCGTATTCAAAACTCAATAATTTATGACATATCAGTGAAACAAAAGAGATAACAACCCTCTAGGTTTGAACTAATTTACTAGTAATAAAAATAAGTTAGACGGGTGTTAGCTCACTTTTTCACTAGTAAGGGGTTATATGAATGCTACTACTGAATGAATATACAAAATGACTAATAAACTGGTGGATGTCCCAACTACTAAGTACCTAATACCAGCCCAGAGGAGAACAAGAAATAGCCATGCATTCAAGTACCAGAGTTATCAACCAAGGATTGAGGTGTTCAAGAATTCATTCTTTCCTAGAACTATCGCAGAGTGGAACTCACTGTCACCAAGTACAGTAGGGGCATTGTCAATAGATAGCTTTAAACAATGTCTAGAGCTAGAAGTTCAAGGGTTAGGTGTAACAAGTCGATCGGTGTAATATAGCCAGCTGCCACCGCGCCGCGTGCCTGCGAAGCTGGTGTGTTACGCCTAAAGGCGGTTATACCGGCTATACAGATACAGATACAGATACTTCTTAGCGATGAACCATTAGTTAACACATATAACGTATAACGTATTTTGACTGAAATACTTTTCTGGGCTAAAAAAAATGAGATAAATTCCTAGAGCTTGACACACCGTCATCCGACTGAAGCTTCTGCACAGCGGGGTGTGTTGCGTAACGAGTATTTGGCGAGACGGTTGGGGGAGAGTGTTTTAATGACTTAGATGTGTTTTAGCGCTACGCTTGGATGGTTTTAATCTCGTAATGATTAGAGAAACAGTGCATAGTAGCGTCGCAGCTGGAAGATGGTCTGACCTACATTTTTGGACAAGGACGCGAGTGACGACAAACGCGTTATATTTGGAGGGGGAAGATATTTGTCCAAGGCTGTTTTCACTTGAGACGTGTAGTAACGAGGTTAACACATATCGAGTCCTACACTTACAGTGTTCAACTGGACGAAAGTCTGTCGCCGAATCGGGTCACATTTGAATGAGGCATTTGCTGGTATAATTCAGAAGTACTGCACTAAATCCCAACTTTAAGCACGCCTTAAAGCACACGTAAAGGTGTTTACGCCTTTTAAACACATCCGTAAAGCGTCATATTTTAGCACCTCCAATTCCTGAATATGACACGTATTTGTAATGGAGCAGGGTTGATTCAACATTGTAAAGAAACGACAAGAAAATGGACTTTTTGTATCTGCCTAATGTTACATTAACACATACGTTTGCACCATCAACTGTTGAACTTTGGATCTATGATCAGGGACAGACAGAGATTTAAATGTGAAGTTTTCTTTCCTCAGTGTAAAACTCTGACAGCGTTCAGTCTAAGCAGTCCGGTTGCTAATACTGAGCGAGAACCTGTAATCTCACAGACACAAAAAGCTGTAAACAGTGTCGCTACTTGCTTCTGTATTTTGTAATGGAAAGAAATGGACAAAGAAGCTTAAGAAAACCATGTGAGCTACAGCTCAGAGGTAGTGTATTATGTAAACACACATCATGCTATGTTAGATAGCATATGTAAACACACATTATGTGCTGTAAGGTAATCAAAACATGTTTTGCTTACTGCTGAATCACATCATTACGTATACGGTCGCGCATTGTGAAACGTTATGTGTGTGTTCCAGCCGTGGTGTCGGTAACGCTGCCGTGTAGAGAATAGAGAAACGCAAAACTCCAGAGAAATGTTTCAACGTTCTTTGCTTTGAAAGCCTGCCAACTGAGTTAGGCATTGTTTATTTTAGGCCTGGGTTAAGTGTGGTGGGATATTTAACGGATTTGAAATGAGATATCCATAAGCACTTAGGACTACTGCCATCCTACACCGAGAATACATCAAGAAACAACTACGCAGCTGTAGAATACAAAAAAAAAAAAAATTAAACGCAAGCGGCGAAAACGGAAGCATACTGGTAACCAAAGAAAGATATGGCAGCTGTGCCACTGAAGCATTCTAACCAGATTTAGGCCACGCCTGAGTTTTGGTACGAATCGAATCGAATTTGAGTTAAATTTGAGCCAAATTTGACCCCCGAACACACTCCGAAAACTGCTGACGTACTCCCAAATGGTCATGGTATTTGCTGACTTACAGCCGATCACCAGCCAACAATGTCCGAACCTTCCGACCAATATACCAGCAGTGTTTCTGATATGCTAAAAGGCCTCCAGTGGCCGTTACTTGTTGACAGAAGGAGAACCGCTCGCTTGATATCTTTATATAAAATTGCTCATGAACATATCAATATTCAAATGGAACAATATCTCAAAGCTGCCCATAGGCGTACCAGAGGAAGTCATGAATATAGATATCAAGCAATATCTGCCCAAACAGACTGTTTTAGATTTTCTTTTTTTCCAAGAACAATAAATGAGTGGAATAAGTTGTCGGGTCAGTTAGTAAAAGCCCAGACAGTGGAGGCCTTTAAGGCCGGACTCCTGGCCGCGCAGCCATAGTCCGTCGCACCCCCCCTCTCAGTGATACCCCAGTAGGGGTTGTTAGAGAGTATACAAGAAGAAGAAGAACCCTCGAATGTTTTAAACATTTTGCCAGCCGAATGGTAGCCGACCTGGCCGAACACCGGCCGACCTTTCTTCGCCCTACATGTAAACTACTCCTAACCGTGATTGCGGGGCGTTCGGCTAGTATTCCGGAGGCCAATATACAAAACCGTGAATGTGTGCCTGGGTCTTCAAGCATACGTGTCACGTCACACGTACAAACACGTTCTTGCAGTTTGGTTGAAGGCCTATCACACGTTTTGAAACAATAAGATGATTTCCCTCTGGCCGTATGCTGGCTACGAGTACCCTACAATCTTCGACGGTAAGATTACGATGTCAATTATTTATGGCAGTGGTTACGACTGAATCCTTAGCGGGTTGGTTAATCGGCATTTGTCATGTTACTGGGCATGAGATTTATGTGTTTGTACAAACAACAACACAAGATATTACACCTATTGTTTATGTAGATTAGGCCCGGAGAAAATCCCGTGTTCTTTACGCACACGTTAAGGTACGGGTAAAGATTTTGTATACCTTTACTACGGTTTAAAGTAGGATTTTGTGCTGTGAGAGGAATCAATTTATACAACGACCAACCCACCATCTTTCCCCGAACAACATACAATAAGATGACCTTATTGTTTATGTAGATTAGACCCAGAGAAAAACACTACACAAAATCCGTTCTTTACGCACACGTTAAGGTATGCGTAAAGATTTTGTATACCTTTACTACGGTTTAAAGTAGGGTTTTGTGCTGTGAGAGGAATCACTTTATACAACAACCAACCCACCATCTTTCCCCGAACAACATACAATAAGATGACTTTATTGGGAATCGCATCGGTGCTGCTGAAAATAAAAAAAAAAAACAATTCAGGATTAAAAAAGAATTTCGCTGAAAACGTGGTTACAGTGGTTACATGGAAACGTAAAAGTCGGCACCATCATAGCATCGTCACGACTTAAAACTGCCTTCAAACAACATTATCTGAATGAAATAAACGATTTATTATACATGTAAGATCGGTGCCGCTTTATCTGCTTTCATCTAGTTGCAACTGGAACTACTTGAAAGAGACGTCTCGAAAACAGAATATTTCGACTGCGTCATTCGGCGAATTCAATAACAAACACATGTAAAAGACGTTTGTACATAAAAAGAACGTTGTTTTTCAAACCACCATCACCCGTTAGTTTGCCGACACGTAGCGTTACATTCCACCCTACACCCTATGATCAATGCACTGTCCCGCGATTTTTTCACCGACTCCCCCTGTACTAGAAATGGATACTCCCTCCATGTACCGTCCTATTGATTGGCAGCGTGGTCCCTGGCTGTGTAGTTGAGTTGGCATCTGCCAAAAGGAGATCACCGCTGAAGGAACCTCCTTCAATCCGTTGAAAGGACCTGGTAAGCTGCGGTTTCTGTAGTGTTAAGACGTTGTCTCACCTTGAAGATTGTAGCGGTATAACCCTTTACATGGCCAGTCTCACGTGGCATTTTTGTTTTACCACACAGAGAGTTCGCATGCCCCGACATCCAGTTCGCTCCCACAGCCGTGCCCGCTAGACCCCGCTCCAGCGATGGAGTCCGCCGCAGATACCTTCAACAACTCCAACGCCTCCTCCCTGGCGGGCGGCTACTCAACCTACAAGCAGGGTCCGGTGGTCACCCTGGTCTTCATCGTGGGCTACACCCTGTGCTTCGTGCTGTGTGTGGTCGGCAACTCCTTCGTCTGTGCCATCGTCGCCAAGTACCACAACCTCCACACCGTCACCAACTTCTTCATCTTCAACCTGGCCGCGGCAGACCTGCTGGTAGCGCTCTTCTGTATGCCCGTGACTCTCATCAGTAACATCGTCACCGGTAGGTGCAACGTTTTCCTTATACAAAAAAAAAACTAACGGCTCTCAGTGGCCAATATGCAGATGTTGTCACATCGGCGCACCAAATCCGTAGGGTGTTTTGGGCACCCAGTTAGACAGATTAGCCTAGGAGGTTCGGTAGGCGTCACCCCACCGTATAGGTGGAGAAGTCGTGTAAAATGCCTTTCCTTATACACCCCAGAGTTTTCTCTTAGTTTGTAGAAGTGTTGTGTTGTGTTGTGTTGTGTTTCCAGCCTCTCAAGATCTAGAGAATGCCGAGTCTACTAGTGCTTTTGGTCCTTTTGTAATTGGCAAGCTTTCCTTTAGCTGGCCCTTCTCTTTGCCCGGGCAGCCGCTATTCTCTCGTTTTCAAATGTTTGTAGCGACTATTTTTTCGCGGTTTGAAATAATGCTTCTAGGAGTACGCTGTTTTTAAAATCTTCATAGTATACAGGCTCCGAAACAACAGTTAGTACTGTACACTGGATGGATTTTGGAAACAGTGACTATCGATATCAGTGACGAAAGGTAGCGGATGCTGCCTGGAACGTCTGACCGTTTTTGTAACCTATCCAGCTGCTTGAGTAACTGTTATCTGTGTATCTGATTATCTGGATGTCTAACCTCTAAGTAGTCTGTCATACATCATACGCAGTTCTGTTTTGCCTTGGGTATGTGCGAAGTTGCATAATCTGTCATCAGGAAAGCATACGTGTCTTTACTGTTGAAGCGGGGTCCGGCCGTAGGTGTGTTATTTGTCACCCGTTTATATGCACACAGGCGCTGGCAATGGCCTTTTGCCGTGGGCCATGCGGGTCTATGACAGAGTGTTCTCTCCGTTTATGACACGCGCTTTTTGTTGGAAGGATGCCGCGTGCATTTCAATTCTCAGGTATATATGGCAGGGGGTTTTCTAGAAAAAATTAGCATGAGGGAGCAGACTGCAAGCATAGTGAGGAAGAGAAGCGACCGAGGGGGATTTTTTAATGAGAGTAACACAGTTTGTAAGGCTAGAAATTCAGAATACATTGTTGTATGGTTTTTACATCTTTACTGGAAAAAGATCATTTTGAGAAAGACTAAATGGTGTGTAAGTAGCCACTTAGGGTTCAATCTGAAAATTGATATAAGGGAGCTGGCTGGTTACATGAGGGAGCAGCGCCCTTATTCTGCTGTTAAGAAAAAACCCTGTATGGGGTATGTAAAACCAGGAAATGCACTCTGTGTTGGCAGTGATTTCGCTGCGCGCGTTCTAAATGTACGTTGTCTTTGGCAGCAGCGCACGTGTTTCAATGTATCTTCCCAGGGGCATTAAAAATCCATATCAGGATGGACCGGTTTGCTGTAACTGTAATTAGGATGTTTTTCTCTCTCTTGGACCACTCAGCCTGTGTGTGTGTTATATCATTAGGAAGAAAGGTTTTAGTTGTCAGCCAGTTGCCTTCCCTTATGATATCATTACAGTGAGAGGCTTTCGTTGTCAGTCACAACATCGCTCCAAACAGTCAGCTACAATTTCCCTGGTTAAACAAAAAGCACGCCCAAAAAGTACATCAATTGCCAACAGAGTAATCTCATATCCATTCACCATCATTGTCGGATGTTAAAATCTTCACAATATTTTGCTGTTTCTAGCGGGAAATCCGGTCGGGCGGCGGAAAAACTTCAGCCGCCGGAGATTCGGTTAGCAGCTGCCTCCGCAGTCTTAATGGCTTTGACATTACAAAACAACCGGTGGATCGCTATTTGATATCAGACGTATTTACGTAACAAAGAGAAGCCCTATTCTATTCTGTGGATAAACTATGCGGAACGGTTTGTGTCTGCGGTTTCCTGTAGATTGTGAATGAATCCTTCTTGGAAACTGTAGATCTGTCATTGTGCAAAGGTTGACAACGTGTCTGAGTATTTGTTGTGTTCAAGGCTGTCTGCACTATTAATGTTAAGGCTTTTTGCCTTATGTAAGTTTTTCATAAAGCGGTAGATTAAAAAATTTTGCCGTCTTGACTAAAGCATACGGTAAGCCTACATGTACGTCAACGGAAGCCTCCATGTGAGTTTGCGTGGTTCACTATGATCACTGTTCACATCTGGCAGCAACAGAAAGAAAATCTGCTGATTTGCGTCCTCGTGAAACCTATGGTTGTTGCTTTCACTCGTTTTATTTGTGGATCACTGTTCAAATCTGATAATTGTGTGCTTGTCTAAGACTGCTGCTTTCATTTATTTCATTTTGGGGACCACTGTTCAAATTTGGTAGCATCAGCAACGTACAAAGTCTGTGTGAGGTTGATTTGCGTCCTTGTGAAACTATTGTTGCTACTACTACTTTTAGTTGTTTTATTTTTGGATCACTGTTCAAATCTGATAATTGTGTGCTTGTCTAAGACTGTTGCTTTCATTTATTTCATTTTGGGGACCACTGTTCAAATTTGGTAGCATCAGCAACGTACAAATTCTGTGTGAGGTTGATTTGCGTCCTTGTGAAACTATTGTTGCTACTACTACTACTTTTAGTTGTTTTATTTTTGGACCACTGTTCAAATTTGGTAGCATCAGCAACGAATAAATTCTGTGTGAGGTTGATTTGCGTCCTTGTGAAACTATTGTTGCTACTACTACTACTTTTAGTTCTTTTATTTTTGGACCACTGTTCAAATTTGGTAGCATCAGCAACGAATAAATTCTGTGTGAGGTTGATTTGCGTCCTTGTGAGACTATTGTTGCTACTACTACTACTTTTAGTTGTTTTATTTTTGGACCACTGTTCAAATTTGGTAGCATCAGCAACGAATAAATTCTGTGTGAGGTTGATTTGCGTCCTTGTGAAACTATTGTTGCTACCACTACTACTTTTAGTTGTTTTATTTTTGGACCACTGTTCAAATTTGGTAGCATCAGCAACGAATAAATTCTGTGTGAGGTTGATTTGCGTCCTTGTGAAACTATTGTTGCTACTACTACTACTACCACTACTACTACTTTCAGTTGTTTTATTTTTGGATCACTGTTCATAGTCAAATTTTTGGATCACTGTTCATAGTCAAAAACTATGATTGCTACTGCCATTTGGTTTAGTACACAGCAACGGAAAAAAAAACTCCATGTGGGGTTGATTTACCATTGAGAAACTATCATTCCTACTGTCACTTTTTTTTGGATGACCGTGGTCTTCACCAGTGTGACCCAGGAATTCACTACAGAGTCTAAATGTTTCCGCTGTGCATTTGCCGGCGGATGTCGGATTTGGTTGGAACTTGACGAATCGATTCCGGGTGAAATGTTCATAAGCCGTGGGTATAGAGGCGTAGGTGTATGGGTGGGTAGAGCACTAGTAGCGGTACGTGTTCACATTATCTAATGTGGCAGTATTAAAACTATAGAATTATTTTCTCCATTAGGCCACAGCAAGTAATTTTTATGGATGACATCAGCGCGCGCATTAATTTTCGCCTGATTTGGGAAAAAAACAAGAAATTTTGTTGCCTTCTGACAGTGGTCAATATGCCCAAAATGGGCAAAGATGTCTGCTGCCATGCCAGAAGGTGGATGGCAGATAACTATGAAGAGAGGAGACGAGAAAAGACTCTGATTTAATGTTTTGCTTCTTACTTTGATGCAGTGATATGTGATACTGGCTGTGTATATATGATGTTCCCACTGAATCAAAACCATTTGTACAATGATTGAGTCAAAATTTTAAAATGTAGGAACCTTGTTTTTTCGGCCTGCCTTGTTTTTTTTCGCCCGCTCGCATTAGATTTGGAGTCTGCGGAGGATGTCATCCATAAAATTTACTTGCTGAGGCCTTAGTCCAATGGTAAAGTTGGAATTTCTTGAGAAGAACCAAATCGACTTCCTGGGTTTTATAACTTAAATATAATATATGATCTATAAAAATGTATATTTTTGGTTGCTATCATGATACTAATAGTGAAAACAATAAATGAATTCAGATTTCAGCAATCATATATTGTATAAGTGGTAGAATCACAGCAACAAGCTTCTATGCAGGAAGCAAGTCACAGCCATTTTGAATGGCTATTATATTCTGTATATTTTTTCATTTTATTTTCAAGCGAGGGAAAAGCCACCCATACGTTTTGAAAACAGCAAAGAAAACTACATTGCCAGGTGTTTTCAGTTCTTTTGTGTGGTCCGGCAGCTTTTCGTTCCTTTATCTGTTAAGTACTACACAAATCAAAAGCGCTGGATGTCGACGTCTTTGAAAACTTCAGTTATATCATTCATCATATGAGTAACGTAGGCGTGCTTCAGAGTCATGGAAGTTCCGACAGAGGTTTAATTTCGCAGCAGGTGGGAACAGGAAAAGGAAGTTGTCGCTGTGAGCAAAGGGGAGCTAAGTTGTCAACGCGCGCGCGAAACAAACCGTGGATCGCAAACCTTTCCTGGCAAAGGCGCCTGCCTGATGGAACTTCAAACGGCTTATCATGCGACTCAGACCCCCTCAGTGAACGGCTGTCGCTACGTGGGCAGTTCAGAACTTTGGCGTAAGATGCGTGTTTGATGAATGTATCTTTGAGGGATTTGTACATGTGCAGATCCAACTAGAGTTACGTACAGTTAGGGTTACATTCTATCGCGAGATTTTTCGGCTATACAGAAATGTCATATATATTGAAAGTTTGTTGCAAATACATGCCCGAGGGCTAATTGCAGTTACAAACAACATAAGAAAGAAAAGAAATTACAGTGGTATGTGAGACTATATCTACGTCCGTAACATTATACTATATTCTACAACATACATGGTACAAGTTATACTGGGTTTGACTTCTTCTTTTTAGGCAATGGAAGACGAATTTACCCACTTCTTCTATAATATGTGGGTTCTTTGATTTTAGTAGTAAAATTGTTTTTTCGTGGTAGGAAATGGTCGAGAAGTAAGGGAGCATTTTGGACACGGTGGTAAATAATTGTTTTCTGATGTCGTCATAAAATGGACAATTAGAGATGGAATGAATTTCGTCTTCCACTGCA